AGCAGTCGTTTGGATGAGCGCTTCCTAGCTGGTCATAAACACTCCACCCCTCAGAGCCTTCCATTCCTCCCTGAGCTTCACAGCGAGCTGTTGAGGTCGTGGAGGAATCCTTTTTCTGCCCGCGTCTTCACCCCCAGCAAATCCAACTATGCTAATGTGAAGGGGCTGGGAGACAGTGGGTACACGAAGATGCCTCAGATGGAGGAAATGCTTGCGGGTTACCTTGCACCTCCCCGGGCATCTTCAAGGAAGGCTCCCACCCTGCCCTCGAAGCTGTGCCAATTTACACCTAGGCTCGTGGGCAAGGCATACGCGGCGTCTGGGCAGGACGGCGGTACCCTGCATACCATTTCTGTATTGCAGGCATACCAGGCGGACCTGCTAAAGGACGCTGATGCGGCGGCGGGGCGTGGCTCCTGATGAAATCAAGGAGCTCCGCCGCTCATCCGATCTGGCCCTCCGTGCGACCAAGCAAGCGGCTCGTGCCATCGGCCGCTAGCTTGTGGCTCTGATTGTCATGGAGAGGCATTTGTGGCTTAACCTGTCAGAGCTAAAGGAGAAGGACAGGGCCTTTCTCTTTGATGCCCCGGTTTCGCCTACTGGACTTTTCGGAACTGCTGTTGAGACAGTAGTCCGTAGTTTCAGAGAGGCGTAGGTTAAGTCAGCGGCGTTTGAGCGCTACATCCCTCGCCGTAGGTGGCATCCTTCCGTTCACCATCCTGAACCTGCTGCTGGGCCTAGCTGGTGGCAGGGTCAGAAGACGAGTGTGGCTGCAAGGGCCCCGCCTCCGAAGAGCCAGGATGCCGGGCAGCGGCCTCACCCGAAGCAGAGACAGGACCTCAGGGAAGTCATCGAAGCTAAGAAGGGAAAGTCGAGACCCTGAGGTCCCATGTCTTATTTATTTTATCTCCGAGGCTTATGATTGGAATTTCTGTTAGCTTTTTGTTTCAATCTGATTCCCTTGCAGTTCCTTTACGAACCTCGGTTTGGAAACTTTGATTAATTTTATGCACTTCACGTTGTCATTTACAACTTTGAATATATATTTTTCTTTCTTTTCTAACTACAATTTTTGGCATGTAATTGAGATCTTCTGATTTCAGCTTGTAGTTTTTACCCAGCTTTGGTGGTACAATACTGCGGTTTCCCCATTGTACCACACTTAGAGCTCTGAGACGTGTTAGGGAAGGTGGGCTATCCAGCGAATCGCGTCCCACGTCCTCAGCTATTATCCTCACTATGTTAAGAATTGTTTTATGGGTTTAAGAAGATGGGCAGTATCGCAGCTCCCATTCCCACTTCTTAATCCGTTGCGCAATAGGACAGAGCAGTTTCCCCTCTGTACTGTGCTTGAGATTGTGAGATGTATGCGGAAGGGGTGGGCTATTCCGCAGCTCGCATCCCACTTCCTCAGCAGTGATCCTCACAATATTATAATGGTCTAAGGAGATGGGCAGTATCGCTTCTCACGTTCCCACTTCTTATAATATGTTGTACACTTACAACTGTGAGATGTCTGTGAAGAGAGTGGGCTATTCCGCAGCTCGTGTCCCACCTCATCAGCTGTGATTCTCACAGTGCTATGAATCTATAGAAGATGGGCAGTATTGCAGCTCGCATTCCCACTTCTTAATCCGTTGCACAATAGGACAGAGCGGTTTCCCCTCTGTGTTACACTTAAGACCGTGAGATGTGCGCTAAGAGGGTGGGCTATTCCGCGGTTCACGTCCCACTTCCTCAGCTGTGATCCTCACAACGTTGTGCATGTGAGGAGTATGTGATGAGTGTGGAGGATTATGTGACTGTTGCTGGTGTGTGTCCCTGGGGATGAGTATTTTTGGTTTTTGGCTGCCGTTAAGGTACTCATCCCTTCAGCATGGCGGCATGGGTATTCGTTCCCCAAAGTGTCCTCTAGGGGACACAGTGCGAGTTCCCATTCGATAAGGGAATGTCTTAGGTTACTCATGTAACCATGGTTCCCTGAGAAGGAGAACGAGACACTGCATCCCCTTGCCATGATTCAGGTATTCCTGTGCACATCTCCTTCAGCCAAGGAAGCTAATGACGTGTTCACGCAGTGTCTCATCCCCTTCTCAGGGAACCATGGTTACATGAGTAACCTGAGACGTTCTTGACTGCACCTTGGGGTATTACTTCACCAGGGGTTGTCATTTTTGCCATGTCACTATTGCTGTGTTATTAAGCTTGTTTGAGATGCATCGGCGCAGTGCAGAACGATCGGATTGCTCTCGCGGTACTTTGATGTCATACACCGATCGTTCTGTGCAGCGCCGATGCATCTCGAACAAGCCTATTATTTGCAGTGAAATTTGTGGGTGTGGTTCTGATTGGCGAGGTTTCTTTTTTTGTAATGTACAGCCTATCTATGACAAGCAATCGATTTCTCCACTCAAATCGTCCATGTAACCGTCATTTATTAACAACTCGACAAAAGTTCTAAAACATAAATAGGCTTAGCTGGTAGCAAGTTGATACCGGAAGGGTTCAACACCCCCCAATATATCGTGTGCAAATGTGCAATACTTTATATCAGACATAAATAGTAATTCAAAACAGTGACACAAACTAGCTCCTAGTACCAGCTACGACAACAGTTTCCCAACTCTGGCACAAACCATCATTGCCGTCTAACAACAGCTACAACAACTTTTTTCCAAAGCTGGCATAAACCATCATTGCGGTCTCCAAGAAAGAAATCACAACCACCCATCTGGCATTCAGCGTGCACGCCGCCATTACCCCAAAGCTAATACCATGCCATTCATAAAGGACGCGATGCTAGAAACTACCGTACTCCCCCTACCAAACAGGACTACTATAAATACTATAGTGGTTGTAACCATCACAGTAAGCCTAGTGCTGTACTAGCCCACTTTCTACAACTGAAGCCTCATACACAGCTGTTGTTTAATTTTTATTTTTTTCTGTCCTCCTTGACCAATGACATTTGATGGTGCTGACTTCTAGTTTTAAATAATTTTTGGCCAATCGTTTTAGCTTTAATAAAGGTTATTTTTGTACAGAAACTCATGCCTCTTGCCTATTTTTAAGTGGAACGTACATGTGCCTTCATTTAGGTTGTGATATTTAAGGGGGGTGTAGTCACCACAAATCAGCCCCATGCTACATTAAGATATTTTCTGTTTCAGCTTCCGTGGGCGAGGCATAGATGAATTTTCATGAGTACCCCAGACACGGGATGCGCATGGCGTGCATCTGAGAATTTTAGTTTAGTTAGTTTAAGCTAATTTTGCAGGGCAAGTCAGTTTCATGTCATTCGTCTTTGCATGGTTATTTCAAATCAATAAACAAAGAGGAGGTCTGGCTGATAAATCATATAGCTCTGCAGTACAGTGGAGTGTTGATAGCTCTGACAGCTTGTAATCATAACTAATTAACAATAATTGAACATTCAAGATTAATACAGACATGTTTATGTTGTCTTTTCTTTTAGGAGGAGGCAAGTTTTGATGGCATTAGTCACTCTGATCACCTGGTAGCCTACGTCTCAAATCATCATATCAATCCATGCTGAAGAACTGAGCTTACTGACATAATCACCAAAACAATAATTAACAATTAATCAATACAATTACAATTTTTACAATTAATTTTCTGAACAATTTTAAATGATTAAAACTAAGTTTATTTATTAAATATTCTTCACATAAACAGAAGACCTCAAAAAATTATCTAGCAGTTAACGGCAACATCATACAAAGATGTAAACAGTTGCATACAATTTGATTTATTTGAAATGATCAAAGTATGTTTCAGAGAATGTTCTCTTCGCTAAATGGTATTTCAGTCTAAACATCTATCCATCTATGCCAAAGTAAAGATTATTGTAACTAATGTTATTAAATGTAACAATGTAATTCCTGCTAGAAAATATTTGATAGATTATATGCCAGTGTGTTCAATTTAATCAAAACAGCAACAAAAACACTAGCTGACAGAAATTGAGATTTCATAATCATTACTGGAAGGTGATTAGGTATTCTGGATAAGCCTGTACATCGTTGAAGATCACAAACATGGTTGGGTTGCTCATGTTGTCAGCCACACTGTTATAGAGATCAGCACTATTAGACCTCTTTGCAGGGGGAACAGGAAGGCCTCTTTTTCCTTGAGTGAAATCGCCAACAAGCACCCTGGCAAGGTACATGCGTTTATGTCTGTTGACATCAGGTGCAGAGTAGCCTTGGGCTGAGTAATTGGGGTCCACGGCAAAATATGTTCCATTCCCATACATTGCTCCTAAAAACAGAACAAGAGCAATAGACTATTCATTTAAAAGACAAATGGAGACAAGTGCAAAGAAAGTTTATACTGAATTTGACTGATACCATGCACGCCAGCGAAGCTGCGATTGAAGCCGTGATTGTTGATCTGATCTGTCTTATCAGGGCCAGTGCCATGGAAGAGATGCTTTTCATTGTTTTTGTGCTTGTTTTTGTCCTCCAGTTCCTCCTTTTTGATCATATAATTTCTCCAAAGTGCACTGTTCTGGACTCTTTCAATCTAAAGACAAATAAATATTAACAAAACAGTCTTACACCACTGTAATAAATTTAGACACCAGAACGTTTTAAAATCATTATAATTATAATATACATTACTCCTCCCTCTCAGTATTGTCTTACTGTAATGATGCTGTTACTGGATAGTCCAGTGCTTGTGAACTCCTTCTCCACTTCTGCATATTCAGTTGAGCCTGCTCTGAGTTTTACAAGAACAACTGACTGTCCTTTCATGTCCGTCCAGTGTGAAGGCAAAGGGCTTTGAGCTGCATCTGTGAACAAAAATATGACCACAAAATAATCTTTAATGGCCTTATAATCAATGTCTTCTACAGACAGTCCTCTTTTTCCAGCTAATGGCTAACTTGTCTGTTTTTTTATTACTAAAATGATCTCACCTTCCAGATCTACTCTGTTCAGTTCAATCCTCAGTTTCCCTCTTATGGCCACTTTGCGATCTAAATGAGCCTCATATTCATCATTATTAATCTTGATTCTCACTGAAGGCTGTTTGTTCTGAAAGGCCTGTTCCAAGTCATAATTGGTCAACATATCAAAGTTTTTGAGGCTGCGTCCATTCTCCTGATATTGCCACTTAACCACACTGCTAATGAAAAAAGCCTCACGCCTTCGATTTTCATTCCTTTCCACCTTTCTGATCATGTCCCGAATACGACTGTCTGCAGTATGAACATCTCTTGTCAGGCCCTCCAGTGTGATTACAGAGTCTTGGCCTTTCTTCTCAAGCCGGACACTGACTGTGAGCTCTCTCTGCATGGCATTCAGCGTTTCTACATCCTCCCTGGTGAAATGAGCAATGGCTGGATCATGGATTGGGATGGTCACATGCTCCCGTAATATCATGCTGTTGATCATGTCCTTGGCTTCACTCATGTCCTCTGGTGTCTCTCCACACAGTTGAAACACAGCTGGCTCAATTTCTTCACCCATCACAAGCTCTTCATTTGCAGGAGAGTCTGAACTTCCTGACCAGAAGAAGTCTACAGGTTTATAAGAAAGAAAAGAGGGATCAATTATTGTTTATTAAACATATTTAGATAAACAGACAGAAAGGACATTTATATGTCTTTACTGACCTTTAATATTGGTAAGCAGACCTTTATCCTCCTCTACTTTCTCACCAGATCTTCTGACCATGCTTTGGTGAAAGTCTGCCACCATGTTTGTCTGGAATATAAGAAACTTCACAAGCCTTACATGTGCCGGTTTCTTTTTCTTTACAAAATCGACCACTGAATCAACCATTGCATCTGCAACATCAGCTGGATTTGCACCTCCCTGACCTAAAGGGTTAGAGACATATTTACCCAAAAAAGTAAATAAATAAATTCAACAATATACTGCAACCACTGTATGCAGAAAAGCAAGATTGCACAAAACGTCTTACCAGTGCCAAGAGCTGGGAAGGCAACAGAAGTAATCTGGCGTGACTCACATAACTTCAGAACAGACAAAACAACACCCTTAATGTCAGATGGACTATTGCGTCCAATAACATGGATGATGTTTCCACATGGAAGCCGCCCGGCTGAGGTCACAATCTCTGTTTGCTGTATATTTGATGCCACTATTGGAAAAACATGTTTATCAATAGCATCTTAAGTTTAATAGATCTCTATTTCAGTACAAATTAGAAGAAATAGCTCATTTGAAAGTATACAAACCAATCTGTGAACATTCTTGTTCCACTTGTACTCCAGCAGCATCTAAAATGGCCTTGGATACTCCTGGATTACAAATAAAAATAGCAGTTACATTGCAATTCTTTGAATGTGAAATTAATTTTAAATGAAACCAAAATAAGTAACCGTGTGTGTGTGTGTGTGTGAAGTTGGATTAACCTGCTTTCAGAGAAAATGTCTGATTTGAGGAGTTGACGATGGCATCAGTTTTTTCTTTAGTTATGTCTCCTGATGAAACCTCCAGAATCACTTGACCCAGCTGCATAGTGTGCACCCCGAGAGAGGGAGAGGAGACTTTGCCAATGACCTCTAAAGATAAGAAAATAATATGTTCATAATGAAGTTCAAAAGAAAAATAAGTGTGATGGACATCAGATAAGAAAATTTTACCAGAGGTCTGAGCTGATTTGGCAAAAAGATTCATTTTAGGCATGACATGTCGATGTGCTCCTTTTGTGACGGGACCCTGAATCCCATGTCTAAAAACGCTGGTAAAGCACTAATAGATAAAGCACATAAATATACAAGATAACATTAACATGAGCAACTATGGTAGATTATTTAAATTCAATCTAAAATTCTTTTACTCACCTCTATACTCTCCTTGTCAGAAGGGTGAACAATCACAGTTACCTCTTGAAGGTTTGTGAAATTAAATTTCTGGACTTCTGTCAGCATGATTCTGGTCACCAGATCTTTAGGAAAGCCAAGATTCCCCGTCCCGATAGCTGGGAAGGAGATTGAAGCAATTCCCTGTGTTTCTGCTGTTCTCAGGCAATCTCTAATCACCCGAATGAGTACCTTTTAAGTTTTAAATAAATGTATCGATTATATTCTTTAAATTGCCATCTAAATAAGAAGAGGTTACATATGAGGCACATTTGCATTATCCATTTCTAAATTTACAATTAGCCAGCAAATACTGTACATGGAAATGTGTGTCTGTAATGTTAAATTTAAATTCAACATAAGAATTGTTATTTACTGGACAACAAGGATATGTTTGATTGAGGTCAATTACATGTATGTCTCACCATTTCTGCTGAGTCTTGTCCACCATTCCAAAATGGGCAAACTACATGAAAGACTTTGAAACATTTCAGTTTATAACCATCTGTGATGACCATATCACCATACGTCACACTGTTTGAGCGAGCAGCTCTGGTGATTTCTGACTGGAGCTGATAACCAGCAGTCTGAAGGAGTGCTTTGGAGACGGCACCTTTACTGAGGTCCAAGTCCTCTGATACAGTGTTTACAATGACATCAGCCTGCAGGAGAAACAAATGATACACTTGTAAAGGGAGAGGATTATTTTTTTCAAGTATAATATCTTAAGGAGTTTTGCTTTTCAGGTAGATATTTAAAAACATAACAACAACAACAAAACACAATTAAAACTATATTTATGTTTCCATGAGTAACAATTAATCTTAGATTCACTTACATGTGCATCCTGGATGTTCCCTTTACTCAGAATGATTTTTAATCCACATTGTGTAGTTTTGGTCTCAAGAACACGTAACCCTTCAGATTTATCTAATCTGTCACCATAGCTTGAGGTTTCTCTTCTCCAGTGTGCTTCATCTTCAAAACCTCTATTACCACGGCGTTTGGCAACTTCAAACTCTTGGTTTATTTGGCCATAGTTTCCTTGACTATTTTCACGATAGCCTTGTCCATAGTTACTATGCCCATGGGGTTTGGGTTGATGAGGGAAAGTCATTTTGGGGTTATAAGCCGCAAACTCCTTTCTGACAGCCTTAGTCATAGCATTCACAGTGTTACCATTATTGTCAACCAAGTGAATTTCAGTTAATGTGCTATTTGAGCCTCTGTGGCTATGATATTCGATGTACTCACACACCTCCTTGGCAACTGATTCAGTGCAAAGATCAAGAGGACAACCAAATATCCCTGAGCTAATAACTGGAATTGCAATGGAGGAGCAGTTTCTGCTTGACGCCTGATTCAGACTTTCCCTCACAGCACGTCTCAGGTGTTGAATAGTGGTATGTCTGTCTGAATCACTGAAGCGAGGTCCAACAGCGTGCACTACATATTTACAGGGAAGACGACCAGCAGCAGTGATGATTGCATCTCCAGTCTTCAGAGGTCCATTTGCTTTTGTGTGCAAGTCACAGTTTTGCTGCAGACTTGGTCCAGAAGCTTGGAGAAGTGCTAAAGCTAAACCACCGATGTGCTTCAGATCTTCATTAGCAGCATTGACCACAGCATCATCATGGAGCTTGCAAATGTCTGCCTTCCTGACAGTAACTGTTACTCCACCTGGCATTTTAACCTCACAAGAGACCTGGCCAATATCTCCAAAACTGCCTACAGCAAATTGATCTTCCTCCTCTTCCAGTATGTCATCTTCCTGAAGAACCACAACAAATCTTTTTTCCTTTAACAGCACTGAGAACATCATTTTACCTTGCTCCATGAAGTACTTCTTTGCTCCTGCCTTCTTAATGATCAGTGTGTCTGTGTAGAGACCATCTGCCAAACTATTAAAGAAGGTCAAAACTGGATGGACAAATGTACGCTCTCCAGACAGTTTGATCCAGGGTCTCTTTGGATCAAAACTCACTTTCACCTCATCAGACTTAATAAATTGCTGCCAGTCTTGTAATTTTCTGTCTTTTATGAATTCAACCGTGGCATGTGATTTGACACGAACAGTTTCTTCAATTCTAGTGTGTTTCTCAATGAAACATCCTAAGTCCTGACTGACCTCCATCACTGGTTCTCTGAATCCAGTCACCATTACTTTGTCTCTCTGTTTAGATAAATGTATAATCACAGATGTCTTTTTGGAAGTACTGAACAATTCTTGCAATTGTTTTTTGAGATCATGCCACTCTGGCAATTGAAGGACACCCTGATCTTCTACAGTGAGGTCTTTGGTTGTAAGAACTGCATTCACCCTCTTCTCTGCCTCAGCAAGTGCTTTTTCTGTGCTTCCAATCACAACAACATCTCCATTTTCGATTGTGTAGACAGCAGTTATTCCATGAGAAATGAAGAGATCTGTGGACATTTCATCACAATCCACTGATCTCAGGAACTCCAGGATTGAATGGTCAATCTGCAAGGGCTTCTGTTTCATATTTATTTTCTTCTCAAGGGCCCAATTCTTGAACATGAGAATTTCTGTATGAAGACCTGATAAATCTAATCTGTTCATTTGTTTGTTGTAGTGAATGTGCAGGTGTGGAGAAACAGCTGTAGCACTTTTCAGGTCATCTCGTTCAAGCAGAGTGTACACAGCAGGAGAAATCTCCAAATATTCAGTCACACTCTTCTTTTCTCTCTCTATTTGATTTGTTGCGCTCTCTAAAATTTTCTCCATGATGGGCTTCAGTCCAGTTATCTCATGGGTCATTCCCGCCAGTGTCAGCACCCCTTTAGAGGCATCCAAATCTGTAAAAACCTGATCTTTCACTACTTCCTTAACACTGCTCTCCACTTTAGTCCACAAGGCGTGGGACACCGGCCACTCAGATGTTGTGTAGTTTGAGATGATTTTCTTGAAGGCATCAATTGCATTCTTATTCCAGCCATCAATGTGTCTTCTGGTAACCCCTTTCTGTTTCAGTAATGCTGGATCAGGACTGAGCAAAACTTCAGGTTTGTCCATGTTTATTTGGCAGGAGTGTGAGCTCATCTGGTCTTTAATAGAGGAAATCTGCCCTTTCTTGAGGATGAATTCCCTGATGGCAGGATGTACACTGACTGTAACTGGTTCAGGCAGCTTCAAATGTGGTCTTTTGCCACCATATAAGACAGTATCAAGTGATTTGAAGTAGGGATATATCTTGACTGGAACTTCACAGATATTATTCTCTTGCTTCAAAACTCTCTCTTTGGCTGAAAAGATTGAAACATGTAGGCATAGTGAAATCAATGCATTGATGTTGACAAGTTTTACTTAGTTGAAGAAGTTTTACTTAGTCTAGTCTTAACTGTAGCAGCAAATATTATCAGCAACTGCTCATGTATTTACCTTCTTCCTCCTTAAAGATAATAATGGCTGCTTGTTCTGATGGAATTGTGATAACTTCCACTACTGGACCGCCCCATTTCTCAAAATACAGTTCCAGCAGCATCTTGTTGTTGTTGGCCTCAGCTGGAAGATTCTCCACTCGCACACTTGTGCTTCTCTCCAGTGCACGGGCCCTCAGATTATTCTTCTTGAACTTGTCATGTGTCCTGCTGTCCTCAAGAAACTTTTCTGCAGCTGTTAGATTAAAAAATGTTTTTTTTTTATTTTAATTATTTAAATGAAATTTTACTGAAAGTGCCAGACACATTTAATCAAGTCATAATAACAACATACAACTATCTATGCAAGCAAAATATTGAAGGTATCATGTCATAAAACAAATAATAATTATTTTCAGATATACAAACTCAAATACTTTTCGCAGTCCAAAAAGACCATCATGTAAACCCCAAGTGTTATGTTATCAAGATTAAACTAAATTAATAATAAAAAAAAAAAAAAATCTTGACTAAGTAAAATATGTTTAAATTATGATAAAAATGCAAATGTATATTTTATAGGAGAACTTACCACTGGGATTTTTAAAGGTCACAACTGCTTTTCTTAATTCTGGTATTAATTCTATGCTAAAGTAATTTTCAGAAAGACTGCTGATGTTCTCCACCAAAAGACTTAAAACATCTTGTTTAATATCATCTGAAAGGTTCTCCAGGACCACAGCACTTGACTCTTGAGGCTTCTTTACATTCACATCAGTTTGCGGGGCACTTTGATCTTTAGGCAAAATAAAATGACACATTTATTAAATCTCAATGCTAAATATTTTTTGTATAAAGTCAACTAGCAGTGCCAGCTACTGTTAACAAACAAATTAATCTTTTGTTTCAATTAGTAACTACATACATAACTGATTTCTTTACCATAAAAAAATTAATGTTAATTAGTACATCCGCAATAACATTACATTAACTTAGCCAATAAAGTTTACATACACGTAAGCAGCCAGAGACCAAAGTTCAGATGATTTACTTACTTGGTTCCTGATATCCACATGCCTGCTCTGCCTGAAATCACACAAACATAAAGCATTTACAATTATGTAAATGGAGAACTAACTGGTCTCTCTACTCCAGCCTTTTCAATAATATGGAGAAACGACAACCGTCTTCTTAGAGAAACTCTAAAATGTAAATATATCTCAACCATAAAACTGAATTAATGTTCTATTATGATAGACCGTTCTGTTCATATACAGTATAGTGACTTGAAGCAATCTAAAGGGTTTGAATTACAGAGCCACTCATCTGAGGTTTGATTGTAAAAGCATTGTGGTCCTAATTCTACATTTTGTAATAAGTCTACTCACTTGTTGTGCAATGTTGTCTGCCTGTTCCTCTACATCGCTGGGTTTGTACACTTTCAACTTGATTTGCTGATTGTCAATGGTAATAATGTGTTCTGCCTTTGAGAGCACGCCATCTCGAACTTAAACACAAACAATTGGACTTAGCGAGATATATCACAATACTTAAAAAAAAAAAAGAACAACATAAAACAACACAGTTATATATCATGTTACATGATATTAGCGAATGTGATTATAATGTGATGATTAACAATGATGTGACATTGGCCTATAAGATCAAAAGTCTTCTAGTAGGTCCCAAATACATGTCAGGAAATGCTTGGTCATAAATGATAGATATTGTTTTATTAATTACTTGCAGAGTCTGCACAAGTCATAACTGAAGCGATTTTAAATTATTTCTGCAATGTTTATTATAATGCTTGATGTTTATTTATGTTAATGCTGCATGACTTTGAAGTGTTTTAAAGAGTGGACTTTGAACATTCAAGTCATGTGCAGAGACCAGAGTTGCCATAGAAACATGTCAATAACACAAGGAAGAAGCAGCAAAACATGTCTCTCACGATTGTTTGTGCTACTTACAGGTACATTTATTCTTCAAAATTACACAAATAATACACCAAATGTTTCTTATCACATTCCCTAGCTTCTTAATGTGTTTCTTTCGAATAGTTACTTATATAAATAAATACTATTTATTTATCCTAAAAGTATATGGATGGTGGAAGGCGCCAAAAGTCTTTAAACGGAACACGTGAAATTTGGTGTCAACACACACTATTTGTCCATATTAATGCGACAACACACACAGCAGCCAATGAAATTGCTGTATTTGAGACTATATCTGGATATGTGACGATGGTACATTGGTATATACATCAGACGTCATGTTTGTTAATGAAGGACGTCTTAATGGTATACTGGTATTCAAGTATGCAATCATCAGATGTTCTATTTGTTCATGAGGGATAATGCATTGGTACGTTGTGTGTGATGTCAGTCGTATGTCATCATTTGTCATGTCCTTTGTAGTTGTTTAGTTCAACGATCATATAGAAAAGTCTTCATTTACACTGTAACATTAATTGATTTACTCTAGCACAGTATATATCAGTAAAGCAATCCTGCAGTGAACTAAAGAAAGGATTATCATGTGGGTAAATCTAGAGGTATATGTGCTTTAAAAAGTATTACACGTTCGAACATGGCTAGAATGTGTGCGTTGATAGACATGTTCAAATTTGTTGTCTTAACGAGGCAAAATTATGCATCTTTACACGTACCAAAGAAACACAGCAATAGCCGATACGTTAAAATGGCCAGAATGTGCTTGTCTACACATACAAAAGAAACACTCAAAATTGCTGCATTAACATGGATGAACAGTGCGTGTTGACACGGTCCAATTTTACACGTTCCATTTAAAGACTTTTGGCTCCATCTGCCTACCATAAAAGTGTGGCTTCTACATAATTGTTGACTTCGTTTTCACGGAGCACTAACTGAAATTAAGTCAAACTGGTAGGTAAACAAATATTGACTATTCTGTGATTTCAGGACAGAAATACAATAGAGAGAAGCTACAAGAAGTGGCTTCAAAATTTCTTAAGAGAAGTGCTGACAGAGAAGTATGGAAACAGACGAAATGAAGATGCTCCTTAAAAAACTATGCATTTTCCCCCACGATATATTTCACCTATATCAATATGCATCTGTTACAAAATTACATTTACATATATTACATATATTTATTTGAACAAGGTTTTGACATCTAAACATAATTAAGGGGCACTACATGAGCAGTATTAAATGAATACCTGTTATCTTACATTATTTTCTGTATATTTGGTGTATTTTTTATAATACTGTACTAGGTAAATGTATATTTTTTAAATATCTGTATCAAAAATACATTATTTTGGTCACACTTTATTTTAATGTGTCCTTGTTACAGTGATTGCTGTAACATGTAAAACAATACATGTATTATTATAGTAAATACATGTAACAAGGACACATTACAATAAAGTGTTATCACTGTTTTTATTGTTTTCATATTATTATTATGTTCCTGCATTTCACCTCTGATCTAGATTGTTTCCAAATGTAGCCTTAATAAAACCTGACATTGTTTTGTCAGGTCTGTCACAAGGTTTTATTTTTTCAATTTTGCACCGTTTTGTCCCACTTCTCAAGAATGACTGAGGTATATTTAATGCTTAACTTTGTCCAACTGTCCCACTGGCCCGCTGGCCTAGTTATACTGTAAGTTATAATAGGCCGATTTGAACGTTAAAATCCACAGATTATATAAGTACTAACTCCGTGAGAGTTTGTATTTGACCCGAAATTACCCTAAGTGTCTGGAAAGCTAAAACCCTGTTCATTTGTCAACATGCTCTTGTGTTCAGCACTTACTGTCAGACGATTTGAACAGAATCGTAGCAGAGTTGCACTTGTCATCATATTTCACGACGCAGTCTCCTCCTTGAGATTTCTTCTTACTCTGGAAGTAAATCTGAAGTTTATTTTTCACACTTTTAGCGTGTTCAGGCCCCCAGTCTCCCTTTACAATGATGGGATATTCGTCCATCGTGATCCTTCTAGTCAACTAGGAAATGACTTGCGAGTCAGGGTTTATAAAGTTGATCACGCCCTCACTTTCACTTTCGTTTCTGCGTCAGTTACCATGAAACTGAGTGTGTGGTCTGTTTTTAACATGGGGACGATAGCAGTGCGATTATTTATATAAACGAATGGCCTGGAAAAAAAAACTGATAAACACAGCAGTGTAGGTCTTAAGACAAAAGAGTTCAATTAACCACACTCGTAGCTACTTTTATGTTTGACTGTTAAACAGGCATATATGCTGCCTTCTAGTAGTTCACCTGGAAACTCGTACTTCCAAGTCGGGCATTTGTTATGTAACGTCATGGGCGTATCGATACTGATGCGAGTATCGAAAGTATCGATACTAAGGTTATTAAGTTTTTTTTTTTTACCAGTGATGTTGTTTATTTAATAATAATAATAATAATAATAATAATAATGTTAGCGAATAATTGTGTAGGATATAACTATTTTCCTGCTCATCTGAACACACGCAAATGCTGCAAGACGGAATCAATCAATCACAGAGAGCGTTCACTCACTTCTGACAGTGCATTCAAACAGGGCTGCTTTTCCCAAAAGCCAAAATAATAGATAATGCTTATCAGAGGACCGAAAACAAATACATTTTACAGTTATTTCACAATAAACAAATTGAAATTGTAGCCTAGTTTGTGCAATTACATTTATTTAAATTGAACGTTAAAGGTTCATGTTCTATTCTGTGATGTTAATATAAATCATACACTGTCAGAATAAAAAGGTTGCGCTCTTCAGGCAGTTCCTTTGACCTCATGATTCTCATTTGCTCTGACATGCACTGTGAGCTGTAAGGTCTTATATAGACAGGTGTGTGGCTTTCCTAATCAAGTCCAATCAGTATAATCAAACACAGCTGGACTCAAATGAAGGTGTAGAACCATCTCAAGGATGATCAGAAGAAACGGACAGCACCTGAGTTAAATATATGAGTGTCACAGCAAAGGGTCTGAATACTTAGGACCATGTGATATTTCAGTTTTTCTTTTTTAATAAATCTGCAAAAATGTCAACAATTCTGTGTTTTTCTGTCAATATGGGGTGCTGTGTGTACATTAACGAGGAAAAAAAATTAACTTAAATGATTTTAGCAAATGGCTGCAATATAACACAGAGTGAAAAATTTAAGGGGGTCTGAATACTTTCCGTACCCACTGTATAGTCAACTATATATAGTTGAACTATACTTCAACTATATATTTGTAGAATTGGTTTCCACTACAGTAAACATATTTTAACCATGTGTAAGCAAAAATATAACCTAAGTTGCAATTAAGGCGTATTGAATGTTAAAATCTGTTTCAAATATAAAGTTAAGTGGATATCATTGCCCATTTGACTCTTAGTAATTTAATACATTTCATAATTTAAAAGTTCAGTTTAGAAGTATCGTATCGGCATCAATATCAACGATACTGGCATTTAAAAGTATCGGTATCGTATCGAAAACAAAATAACTGGTATCGCCCATCCTTCACTTATTCAAGTTGGATACATAACAAGAAAATTGCTTAAACGAAGAAAACAAATTATAAACAACATATCCAAATAATTACTTCTGTATTAAAAATGAAAATTATTCCTTTCTATTATTTATACATGGTATCACAACTAAATATTTGTGTTACATAAAGCAAAGGAAAATCATGTTGTTGTTTCATCATGTATTGGGCTGTATTATCGTTGCATTTACAACGTCTTGACCAGTAGGTTTCTTCGGAATTGTGTTCATTCATTTGTTCAATTATGCAGGGTCAGAAAGCTCTTGGATTTTATCGAAATATCTTAATTTATCTTCTGAAGATGAGCAAAGGTCTTATGGGTTTGGAACGACATGAGGGTGAGTAATTAATGACAGAATTTTCATTTTTGGGTGAACTATCCCTTTAAGTCATGTGGAATGTTACTCAAACTTTTTACTATGAAGGGCCACAAATAAAACTTGTTTGAGGACCATGGGCCAAACATAAATGTGGCATTATATCCAGCACTGCACTATATGAAATATTTATATTAAAGCCTAGCTTTTTTTTTTTTTTTTTCAAAACAAATTGTATTTATATTTTCTACATTTGAATGCAAGAATAAAAATAAATAAATAAATAAAAATGTTAACAAAAGAGGATATATAGGAAGAGTTCAAGGTCTAAGTGGGCCAACTCTGGCCTAAAGGTCCTGGTTTGGGCATCTCTGGTTTAAAGGACGTAGTAAATAATTCACATTTTTTATTCACCAATCATAATTTACTGAAGTCCTTTGTTATATTTATGGTTACATAATTGTATGTATAATTTCAATCAATGTTCTCATTTAAGCCCCATAAACATAATCCCCAAATGCTCAGCACAAACTCTTTTTCTTTACACTGTAATAGTTACTGTAATTCTTGCCAGTAATTATTACATATACATTATATACTTAAACATTATGTGTTCATCTTCACCAAAACAACAAAAATAGCAACAAAAACTGATCTCATAATCATTACTGGAAACGGATTAGGTGATTAGGTATTGGTTGCCTTGGTCATGTTGTTAGTCACACTGTTGTAGCGATCAGCACTATTGGAGCTTTTCGTAGGCGGAACAAGATTTCACTCCTTGATTTAAATCATGACAACCACACTGGCAAGGTACATGCATTTATGTCCGTTGACATCAGGTTTTAAGTGGCTTTGGGCTGAGTAACTCGGATCCACAGCAAAATATGTACTATTCCCATACAAGGCTCCTAAAAACAGTTTATACTGAATTTGATTGATACATGCCAGCAAAGCTGTGATTGAAGTCATTACTGTTGATCTGGCTGGAGCCGTGGAAGAGACGCTTTCCATTGTTTTTGTGAGTGTTTTGATCATATAGTTTTTCCAAAGCGTGCTGTTCTGTTCTCTTTCAACCAAAAGGCAAGAATAAATTTTAGTTTATATCCAGTATAACGGAAAATAGATTTGAGCTACTGCAGACAACAAGATGAAAACCTTACTTGAGTAAGTCATATTTGTACATGATGCCATTCTAATCGATGTCTTAATTATAAAATAATCTCACTTTACAATTCTACTCTGTTCAGTGCAATCCTCAGGTTCCCACTTATGGCCACTTTGAGAACTAAATGAGCCTCATATTCATCATTATTAATCTTGATTCTCACTGAAGGCTTTGTTCTGATACGCCTGTTCCAAGTGATAATTGGTCAACATATCAAAGTTTATGACGCTGTGTCCATTCTCTTGATATTGCCACTTAATCACACTGCTAATTATAAATGCCTCACTTCTTCGGATTTGGTTCTTTCTACCTTGCGGATCATGTCTCGGATACGAATGTCTGCAGTATGAATGTCTCTTGTCAGGCCCTCCAGTGTGATGACAGAGTCTTGGCCTTTCTTCTCAAGCCGGACACTGACTGTGAGCTCTCTCTGCATGGCGTTCAACGTTTCTACATCCTCCCTGGCGAAATGAGCAATGGCTGGATCATGGATTGGGATGATCACATGCTCCTGTAATATCAAACTGTTGATCATGTCCTTGGCTTCACTCAGGTCCTTTGGTGTCTCTCCACACAGTTGAAACACAACTGGCTCAATTTCCTCACCTACCATTACAAACTCTTCATTTGTAGGAGATTCTGAACTTTCTTCTTTTTTACAGGAACATGTTTGATGGGAAGAAACAGAGGGATCAATTGTGGTATTTGAAAAAAAAATGGATGGAATTATCATACTTTTTTTAAATTCTTTACTGATCTTTAGAAAGAAAAGAGGGATCAATTATTGTTTATTAAACTTATTCAGATAAATAGATGAAAATAGCATTTATATTTCTTCACTGACCTTTAATTTTGGTAAGCACACTTTGATCCTCTTCTACTTTCTCACCAGATCTTCTGACCATGCTTTGGTGAAAGTCTGCCACCAAGTTCAACTGGAACATAAGAAACTTCACAAATTTTACATGCACTGGTTTCTTTTTCTTTGCAAAGTCAACAGCTGCATCAACCATTGCATCTGCAACATCAGCTGGATTTGCACCTCCCTGACCTAAAGGGTTAGAGACAGAGGAAAAGAATAGTGAACAATTCACACAATATGTCATTAAAAATGTTTGCTGTGCTGACAATCAATAAAAAAATAATAATAATAATAATTAATCGCACATTTTCTGAATTATTCACTATTAATCGCAAATTAATATATTCATATATAATCACATTGAATCTCCAAATTAATGTAAAAACAATAAAGATTTTAATTTAAGTGAACTTAAAACAATCTTCACATAAACTCTATAGGCCTATGCTTAAATTATAATTGAATGTAGATTAATCTTCATTCAAGCTACAAAAGTTAATCAGAAAGGAGAGCACTGAGTAATTTATCTTTTTCTTTTGTTCTTTGATTTACATCAATGACAGACTGCAGCAGGTTTCACTTTGAAAGCAGTGTTGTCTCTTTAAAACCTGATGCACATGACTGACACATCCGATTTTCTCCCAGTCCTTTACGGTCATTTAGGACTTTTTAACTCATTTAAGACTGTTTACGAGGTCACTCGCCAAAAACAGGCATTTTTATATAATTTTGTGTGTTTTTGTTAGTTGAAGTGCGAAAAATAACTCACTGCACTACTAGCACGCTGTCTGAAGCAGCTTTCTGTGCGCCTGATTCCTGTGCTCACAAAGAGCAGCACAGAAACAGCGCGCCAGTACCGAATTAAAGGGGTCATGAACTGAGAAATCAAAATTCCCTTCATCTTTTGACATATAAGAGGTCATTGTACTATAAAAACATTGTGTAAGTTTCAGAACTCAAAACTTTCTCTTTAGTCTAAAAACAGCTTATATTGAAGCCAATCTGCCAAAACGACAGCTTGTGGACTGTGCCGCTCTTTGACGTAAGAGCGGGTAAACCCCGCCTCCGCAGAAGAAGATCAGCACCTGCTTCTACATCACTGCCTGTTTAGCTCCGCCCAC